TAAACTTGTTGTTGTTCTGGTGGAAATACCGGCACCGGTAGTATAAATTTATTTGTCACGATATTAATCTATTAACATAATTTATATTACAATAAGATATTAAATATTTCTCTAATTAAATATCAACTGTTGTGATGACATCTAAAAAATTATAGTGATTTGTGTAAATCTAAAAATAATAATACAATGTATACTGGTGTTAATAAGAATCTGTGTCAATTTATGTAAAACTCATTCAATATTCAATACTTATTTGCTTAATTACTATTTTACATACTGTATCTACCGTGACTTTCATGTTTAAACTCTAAAATAATGCTAAATATACGGTATTTAAAAATTTTAAATATCAAATATTAACTTATTATTTGATTTTATTCTGTCCACTAAAAAATTGTTTTTATATAAATGTTTGTTATATAATATTTGTATTAATAGACTTGTAAAATATGTAAATAGAAATTAGACGGAAATTGAAACTTAAACCAATATTCAAATAACTAATGATAATAGTTATTATCATAAAAACAATTAATCGTAATGGCAAATTACCCATTATCATATTGATATTAAATTAAATTGTAATTATCAATAAATACTATAAATCACTGTACCATACATTAAGATGAAATAAAATGATAGACATTAACTCACTCGATAGGAAGAGTTATAAAAATGAAACAAATAATTACATAATTGCTATAAAATCAATTTATAACATTTGCAACGTTAATAACTTTATTTCGTATTCTAACTGTTATTTCAAATGAAGTTTACTATGGGAATCCCATAATGGGATAGAAATGCATAGAAATGTGTCGAATAATCACTTTTTTGTGTTTAAAAACAACAAACATTAATAATCAAAAAACAGTTACTTTTAGACAGAAAACGCTTTTCGAGTGATTTAATTGATTTGAATATATTTATAAATTATAAAAAGTACTCAAAGAGTAAACCTTAAAGACTGCAAATATTTGCGACATTAGTTGATAGTACAGTGCATTACAAACCTGTGCTAACTTTCGAGTTGGCGTTCAAAACAGCAATTATTGACTTTCATTCGACCAAAACTTTTCAACAAAAAAACTTTTCTTTAATGAATTTCACGGCTTCGGACTAATTCTGGTGCAAAGCATTCACTCTATTGTATCCCAAATCACATGTTATTATTAATTAATCAATTAATTATCATTTCATTGTAAATGCGATTCCAATTAATTGGCAAATAATAGAGAAATAAAGCAACAAAACACACAAAATATGTAATAAAAACCATTTATTGGATTAAAAGTTAAGTTAAGTATAAAGAAATATATGTCTTTAAAAAGTTTTCATGAAAATAATGATCACAGGAGTGATTGATTGCACGATTCAATCAATACAACAACAAAACATTAATTGTATTTATAAATCGTTTGCTCAATGATTGGTTTAAAAGCGGTACATAATTGTAATATCAGTTGATTGTCGTAAAACGAAAACTCTTGTAAATATATATAATATTATATATATATATAACTTATATGTCAGCCGGTAATTAAATATAATATAATTTGTTTCTCAATTAAACTATTGATTCGCATCTTTATGGCACTAATAGTTTAATTTCAAAAATACTTTTTCATAATTATTTATATTATATATAAACTGTGTGTTCAAAGCAAAAAATACTATAAAAACTTGTGTTCTCTGGTTTTGCTCCCAATTTACATAACATATCATCGAAACTAACACTCATTTCTCTTTTGAATTCCTATACGACTCCTGATTTACACGCATTTTGTTAAAAGCAGTTGTTTTCACGAAATCTACAGTTTTATAGACTGTAGAGCCCGACCCACCGCATGGTATGGCCGGTTGGCATTGACTCGGGTTTGTGGACAACTCCTTATTGGATAGCGTGGAACCGCTTCGCTGGTGATTGTGTTCATTAGGCGTTCTGGGGCTCTGGGAGTTGGTGTCCGACTCCAGATCCAGATCTAAGTATTGAATTTCCGAGGGATCAAAGGGCCTGCGCGGCGGCGGTACTACCGTTCCCTTAACCTATTCACACATCATTTCATTAGTCAAGCCAAACAACAAACCGTTTAGCAATTAAACACAATACCTCTTCATTGGCTGAGTTACGTCGACTGCCGTTCCCATTAAGGCTCACGTCGTCCTCGGATGTGGAGGGCTCGCGGGTGTGACTGTTCTGTAAGACTCGCGAAGGAATTCTCGGAGGCGTTCCGTTGATTGTCACCTGAGATTGTCCTGAACTTCTGTTCCCAAAGACAAACAATTATCAATAAAATCCAATTCATGGTCTAAAGATCTAACAATCAACACAAGAATATGAGGCATACCTGGGTTTCCTAAAACTCCTTTTCGTGGGCGCGCTGTGAATGCGCGTCAGAGCGGGCGGCGGCTGTAACTGCATGGGAGCCGTCTTCATAGTGGGCGACGGCAGTGCCGTACTGTCGCTGTCGGAGCCCTTGCGCCGGGGTTTCAACTCCCGGTTGACAGCGGGCGGACCCACAATCAGACTGTTTGGTAAGGAACTAGAAATGTGAGAAGCATTGCAATACGAGGCTGAGTTAGGGGTGAGTGGACTCCTGTCTTGTGCCGAGTCGACAGTGTTGGCGCTGACGGCGAAGGCGTTTGAGTTGTTGTCGTCCGCACCGGAGGAAAGGGTGGGTTTGTATTCGTAGTTGAAAACGGTCTCTTTGTTGGTGAAATAACCTGCCGGTGCGTTAGTGTACGAGTGCTTCTTCGAGGACGTCGAGCGATCGAAAACGATTGGAACCGTTGCGTTCAGTAGCGGCACGTCTCGGTCAGGGCTGCCATTAAGCGGTTGTTGCGATTGTATTGCCTCTGAGGAGCGGGCGTTCATACGCGGGAAGTCATACAACTCGTCCGGAGATTTGGGCGAATCCTCACTTTGCGGACAGACAGCCGACTTATATTTGGGTGAACTGTCGTCCTCTGCGTGTAGGTTGTGCTCGACTTGAGTGACGGGAACGTCATATAATTGGGAGACATTCGGAAGGGAACCGCAACTCTCGGATTTGCTCTTTGATTTCCGAAGGCTGGGAGGCTTCGGCGGTCGGGGCGGGGGCTGGAAGTGGGCGCTGCCGTCCGTACTTTGAATGGAGTCGCGATTGAAATCACTGCTGAGCGGCGACGATGACCTCTGCGTCTCGAAGCCGGAGTCATTGACACTGCAATGTCTGGCCGTCACATCTACGGCCGCGTTACAGCTTCTGACTGAAGTGCGGGTGGCGTCGAGTGTCTGGAAGGCCTGACCCTCGGGTGAGTCGCGCGGGTATGTGCTCCAGTTCACTTTCGGGGCACTATATACAAGTGAAGAGTCCACCGAATTTCTGGTATCTTTCGCGTGATTTGTGGCACTTTTGGGCGCTTTTGGCACACAGTCTAACAGATCAGAGCTCCTGATGTTAACATTGGAGTCGGTCTGAGGGTTGAGTTGGCGCGGGATGTCATAGCAATCGTCAGACACCGTACGACTTAGTTTGGACGGCAGTTGAGGCACGACATCCAAATCGGTTAGACTACCGTTGATAGGCTTCCCGGTGTGACACTCGCTGATGGGTATGTAAGGGCCCGACGGTCCCTCAATCGAGATGCGAGTGTTGGACACACTCTTTGTATTGCATTTTGAGTTATTTTTCATATTATTCACAGTTTCCGAGTGTTTTGTCGAGTTTTTGGTCAATGTGTTGGTCGACGAGGCGATTGCACTCGAGGTCGGGGCACAAGTGATGGCCGTCTCAGCGGAAGGCACTGTCGTCGTCGTTGTCGACGAGTTTGCATTAGTCGTCGAAATATTATTGTTATTATTATTATTATGATTGGAGGCACTGAAGGCAAACTCCTGACTCGGTTGCGGCGAATACCTATCGTCCTGTCCCTCGTCGACGTGTATTTTGAGGCCACAGACACTGCAGATACACTCCACCCACTTATTCATCTCACTCTCGCTGTTGGCCACCAAATAGTAGGTCCTCTTAGACGTCCGCACGTCAAACATGTGCTGATAGTTCTCTTTACGGCCCTCGAGTTGTAGGCCAGCGTCGACCTAACGGCGCGAACGGGAAAATACAGTTACAATTTGACGGATACTTTACTACCACGAAGAATGCAATTACTTGTTCGCATTGATCCAAATCGATCACTCCTTTGATCTTCTTCTTAGACGAGTCGGCGTAGTACTCGAGCACGTATTGGCCGGGTATCTGACCCGACAGTCTCAACACAAACCAACGTCGCCGCCATTTCTACGTGTGAATCACAGAGACAAATGCAGAGAAAAAATTAAAATATAGTCCAAGAGTTGACTCAAACATCTCAACAGAGGTTTACAATTAGTTGATATAATTAGACAACAGATTAAAGTCTGGTTTACTTTAATAAGTGTGTATACATACAGGTATATACTTTTTATATGCTAATTAGCAATACCTGTCCTTTCAAACTATGCAATGCTATGCAATAATTCGCATTTAAGACCAGTTTTATGTAGCATTTGTTGGCCTGAATTGCATGACTGACAAAACTTTTCTCTTATAAGAAACAACAATTCAGTTGATGATTTAAACCATCAGTTTTATTAATATACATGTGTTTAAGTACTGTTAGATTCTCGTCACCATTCGAAGGCTCACAATTGAAAATAATTATAGCATTCCTTACAGTAATGTTATTAACATTTTACACATCAATTTAATTTAATATACAGTAAAAGTTTTTTTGTTTCAAGTATTACTGGTATTTGTTTCGTATGGCAGAAAAATACATAGCGAATGACTCACTCGACACATGCAAACAGCCATTAAATACCATAAAATTTAATACAAACTAATGAACAAAAGAGGTATAAATGTCATTAAATCGATGGTTAATTGGATAGAAAAATTGTCTTTTTGTCATAAAAGCAAACAAATGTTGCAAACTATTGCATGAATAGAGAGCAAAACATAATTGAATTAAGTTTTGGGTAGTTTTGAGTGATTGTGTAGTGAAGTGGATGTGCTAAGAGTGGGTGTTATTATTATGATTATAACTTAGGCTCATAGAAAAAAGCCAACGGTTCCCATACACGCACTGAACAGCAAACAGTTAATCATCGAATGAAACACTAATTAATTAATGCTTTTTGTTGTCGACTCTCTCTCTCTCTCTCTCTCTCCACTGTAACTAATAGGACGGCAATCGACTTATCAGTTCCCCCAGAGTTTGGTACACAAGGAGTCGGTAAGAGTCACAAGAGATTGACTGCTAATAACTGTTATGTAATCTTATAATAGGCTATGATTTGTGCAATACTTCAATACTTTCTCTAATCAGCTATAATGTGATTGAATGTCAAACACTATAGAAGTAATTAAGTATTGACTGATTTCTTACGAATTGAGACATTGAGAGGAAATGAGAGGAAAACGGATTGTATTTCTTTAATAACTAATTAATTAGTATTTTTGTGTGAACACAATGAGCTACACAATAGACTGCCATTTGAGCACAAAATGCATTTTCATATGTAATTAAATAACGCTTCCAACTGTTATAACAAACCAGTGAACAGACCTTCAAATAAATGCAAAAAGTTTTTGTTTGATTTACAAAATTCAAATCAAAACTCATATGCAATTTGCGTTTGTGTTATACATAACAACACAATTAAATCCTTTTTAAAAACTAAAAAACATATCAATTATCATAAGCTTTATTTAAATCATACAAAAAAATTAATTAAAAATAATTTCTCAGTCCAAGCAATAGTTAAATGAATAGTTTTGTCGGACTTTCCCATAACTAATAAGATTTTGAATTCAAGGCCAAAATCTCGAAACCATTAACTAATTTATTATAACTTTTTTTTGTAAACTAAACTCTGTTACTAAAAATTATAATCACATATATGTATAAGTATTTTATTAATAAAAACTAATTTACGAAATAAAATCAAAACAAAATAATCGCTGTTTTCGTGCGAAATTAATTTGCAACAAAATTATCGGTAATAACGAGATTCACATTAAAAACACACATCCATTGCATGAGTCGATTGGAAATATTAAAAATGCAAACTAATCACTTGATTAGCAATTATTGGTATTTATAAAAAAAACAATACAACAAAATGTGTGAAAATTATGAGCATTTGATTGATTACACATCCATTGCATGAGTCGATTGGAAATATTAAAAATGCAAACTAATCACTTGATTAGCAATTATTGGTATTTATAAAAAAAACAATACAACAAAATGTGTGAAAATTATGAGCATTTGATTGATATCTATGAAAGAGGGGTCAAAGACATGAGTGAATACATTGAATACACGCTACAAATAATGCAAATGTTGACTAATACTCAAACAGTACAAACGATAGTCACTTGAGATGACATAAAAACCGGATCAACTAATGAAACCACAAATTAATCGCTAATAGACTTACGGTTTTCCAGACCAGCTTCTCGGTGGGCGATTTGGTTAGCCATCCCTCGCATACCAGTGACCCATTGGTGACGATATTATTGTTATTGATATTAGTATTACTATTAGTATTATTATGGATAGTATTGATGTGATGAATGGTATGGTGTGTGTGGTTGGCGTGACTCGCGTGCGAATCCATTGAATCGCTCGACAATCGGTACAAATGACAAGCAATACGGTTATCGATGCCTGAGATGGCAGGGATCAGCTCTTCATTCCTACGCCAAAAACAAGACATAAAAACTGTTGTTAGTAAACAATGGCACGAAAAACATTAGGCATTCAATAGCTGTCACAAGTGTCTCACAATCATATGATTGACAATAGAGTGGCTATTATTGAGAGCATAGCGTGTAATGAGTGAAACAAATGCAATCCATAACACTATTACCAATTGTATGGCTAATTGTGGCCAATATATCAAACTAATGGCAAACTAATGATTACTGAGTGGGACAATAGTGGTGCTGATTGTGGCATCAATTGGCGTGTCATGTGTTTCATCTAATGGTCTCTCTCTCACACAGTCTCTCACACATCGACCATATTTGACGATTTAATACACATTCACTGCAACGCTATACCATTGAATGCATTGAATGCTATTTGTATTGAATTGAATGTAAATAACTTGTTGTATGTGTTGTGCCGTTCAATACATTGGCAACAGTGCTGTGGGACTGGGAGTCGACTCAACACTTACTCACTCTCTCTATAAGCCAGAGTCGACTCTCCCATCACTTCTCCCAATGCATTGCAACGCTATGAGAGTCTCACAAATACCGCAAACTATGAGTTCTTGCATAACATTTGTGTTGTTTTAATTACTTTGCAAACAATTTATTGTGTTTTTCATCAACAAATGGATTATGAAGCTATCGATTTCTGACTAAATTTCATGAAATTTAATGAGAAATGCATTCATATGATTAGCAAACACTCATTCATTTGTGTGCATAACTAGACTAATGCCGTATTCACAGGCATATACAGTATCCTACATAAAGTCTATTCACGGCAAGTGTTTTGGCTATCAGTGAAATATATGGAGAAAAATGTTTGCATTTTTTTAGCACCAATTCTAACGCATAAACTATTGCATCAAGTTTTGTAACAATTACCACACGAATGCAGTTTAATGTAAATTAAGGCTAACTTTGAACTTATAATTGATTTAATAAAATCAATCAATAAAAAAAATTGAAAAAACAATTTTTCTCACAAAAATACCTCAAAATAAAAATATATTTAACCAAACATTTGATTTGCAAAAAACTTAGACTTTAACAGCTATTGTGCGCAAATGCATTGCAAACATTGAAAGGCATTAATAATACGGTAATAATAATACTACTAATAAATACTAATCACATAATCGTGACTACAATTGGGTTTATAATCGGATTTAAAGCCATAGTTTGCATACAATTTGCCGTTTGATGAGTGCATTGACAGCCATTCATAGCAACGATGTGTCAAATGCTATGAATGGTGTGTTTGAGACCAATGTTTGGCTCATATTTTTCGGACATTTATTTAATTATCGATTGATTTGAACGGAAAAAGCGCTAAACTATACACTCATTAAGAGGTTAATCGCTTGTCATGTGATGTCTGCGAAGTGACCACTCATTTGACGATCACCTCAACGCATCTCATGAAATCAACTGAGAGTACAATGTCTTGATAGTGATTATCACTATCAGTGGTAAGAAATGATTAGTTAATTGGGGTTTGGATTTGGGATAATCGGTATACGACTGAATGGTGGGTCGAGTATGGGATCAAATGCATCGGTACTTCAGTGGCGATGTCACGGCTGTACCTATTCGTTGAATCCGACCGAACGATGGACTTGTGGTATGTGTGGCGCCCGAAGACCTCTCCAACCCTCGCACCCGACCAGCACTTCCACGAAGACGTGTCTGTCATCGACGCCAGAGACCGATGATGGCTGCGATCCACGCCCTCCACACTCGCCGCTCGAGAACTGTCTTCACTTCGACGACAATCACTTCGGAGGTGATCCACAACCGGATGGACACAACACAGCAATCGAGTAATTATTGTCATACTTATGATCAGTTGATATGATATGCCATCATATGATTCATATGATTGTCGACTCGTTTGTCATACAATGAGATTCACACGAATTGTTCACTCAATTGAGAGTTTTGGTCGACTTTTGTGAGTTTAATCACTGAATCGTTTGCCACACAAATCTCGATTCAATTACTATTGCCATCGATAAGAGTATGGCATAAGTGCCGGAAACAAGAGTTTTGTTGTTTATAATTATATTAATCACTACTTAAATGAGTCATTAATTTAGGTCTTTATGCGAGAAACTGATTAATAATTTGCTTGTATTGGCAAATCGTAGCACAAATAGCTACTCATATCTTGGTAACTGTTTTGTTATCATTAAAACTATTTGAATATTAGTTTACTTTAGTTCTCGTTATTAGTTTGCTTTTCAAACTCATATAAAAAGGCTAGTGTTTGTGTGGTTTTAATTAACTTTAGTATTATTATTATATACCCAATAAATAGGCGTTAAAGTCATACAATCATTCATACCTTTATGTTATACCTGTATTCACTTCACTATTTTTACCACACAATACCTGTCATATGGTATTAAATTTTAGCTGTAAATGCCATTTCATTTGTTTAGTGCAATATTTAATTTCAATTATAATTTATTATTTAAAACAAATGTGAAACATTTCATTTGGCATTTCGATTATATCCATGACTCTTATACTTTATCGTTTAGAAAAACAAATGCTAATGAAATACCCGTAGATATTAAAATCAATTTCAAAATGCTTTTCAAATATATGTTAATCGATGGCATTATACAAATCAGACTCAAACATTAAATATTTATGTTTACGATTATGTGTATGTGTAATGATACCGTAATATAAATGTGTATTAAATAGACTGCTATTACAATACTTTCACAATACTCTCGATTCTCTCAAATGACATTCAAAATTCAATAAACTTATTATGAATACAACGGTAATGGAAATTCAATGACAAGTTTTGTGTGGAATTTATTTTTAGACAACAAATTGAAAGCTTCTGTACCTATACTTATGGTATGAAATAATCGTTTAGTTTTAATCTTTTTATAACTGAACTCTCGGTTCTCGTCAACTCATCGCTTGTGTAACAAAAGGGCTAATTATGAACCGAAAACAGTTAACTAAACTCCGAGACTCGGCTATACATTAATTAGGTATCAATGCATTGATGAATGTCTTTTCACACACGGTTTTTGACAATCGATACACACGTTTGAAACATGCATTTACTGTCAATTTATAACAAAGTTGTGTTATATGCGAGTAATTGTCACAATCTATTAGCGCAAACTGGGGGCGCATTCACCCCTAAAATATATTTATAGTTTATTGAACACAATGACAGCAAACTTTACTCTAACCGTACAACTAATGCACAGAAAAGTTTTTATTGGTTTTTTTTGAATCAAAAGCACAATACAGTTAACTATTAGCGTGTAGTACATGAAGTGAATCAAACAAAATTCATTGATTTGCATATCGGTTGCTATTAGAGACACATTTGTTATTCATTTGTCGTCTTTCCTATACTGTAGCGAAGGGACTGACAGTCAGTTTGTGGCCCACAAGAGATCCAACAGCACCTCCAAAGATAGTGATGAGCAAGAGTTAGCCCCCGATGACTGCCATCAACGCAAGAAACACTTTGACGGCTACCTGACAACCGCACCGTCGTTTGTCAGTTGCATTCGCCTCAAGAGATCCAATAGTAGTCCAGTGAACAGTCAAATCAATTTCTTGGACAAGACTTTTGTCAAATGCATCGGCAAGAAGAGCCAGAAGTGGTTGTGTCCCACGTGTGGCTTCAAGAATATCTCGACGTGCTCTGAGTGTGTCCACTGCCACCAAATCAAGACCAACCGTCAACTCATCAGTCAGTCGAGCGAAGAATCTCACAAATCAGTGCCAATAGAGGAGTTGCGGTGGAAGTGCTATAACTGCCAGTTCTCTAACCCACAGAATCGCTACGAGTGTGTTGTCTGCAATTGTCTCAGACTTGACACCGATTTGTTCAATACAAGCAAAGCCATTGCCAACTCAAATATATCGTCTATCGTATCGCCCATTCATTTCAACAGAACTTCTATTACCAAGCATTTGGTCGACTCGAAAGCCGAGGCCAAGTGGTCGTGTCTTAAGTGCCACTTCTTGAACATCCCGTCATCCATCAGTTGTATTATATGTGATAATTCCCGTCAATTCATTCCACTCTACGATAAAAAGACAAATCCTTTGCACCCGAAGAGTGCCGTTAATGTAAGAGAAGCCAAATTCAAGGAACGACTCAAAAGGCACGGCTCTGAAGGCTCTTCTAATGGCGACCAAAGCGATGGTTATGAGGACTATCTTCAGCACCATTTAGTCAGTAATAATAGTCCCGAAACGCCCGCTCGTCTCAAGCGGAGCACTTCGTTCAGTGAAGTCACTTACGCTCTCATCGGTGTCCAGAAGAATAAAGTCTTAAAACAGAGTCAATGCCTTCAGAAAGAGAGTTCTCTGAGTTCTGGCACTGAATCGACGGACTCACCCACTCATGCGACCAGTAGTTCAACGACAATGACTGACCACAACATCGTAGATCTCACGCAAGACGATGACATGTATGAGTCGTCCGACTGGTCCTGTAGTCAGTGTTCGTTCGCATCCAATAAAAGCTATTCATTAGTTTGCGAAATGTGTGACAAGAGACGGTCCGACGATAACGTGAATACCGGTGCTCTAGGCATTCAAAGACTGCAATCAATAGTTTTAAATAACAATCTAATTAATAGTAATAATAATTTTAATAATCACACGAATAATAGTCATTTGCGAAGCAATAACTCACAGCAAATAATCTCATCCAACGGAATGCTGTCCAACGGCTGGACATGTATTAAGTGTACGTTAATTAACTCATTCGCCGATAACTACTGTACGGCTTGTGGCGGATCTAAACTCAACAGCACTACTGACAAGAACTTCTTGACTCTAAAGCCGAACGAGAGTTGGGTCTGCAGTCGATGTACGCTCAGGAATACCATGGATTCGACCACATGTTCGGCCTGTGGTCACAAACGACAAGATCTGAGGAACAGCTCCATCGCCATCATCGAGGATGACACTGAAGACGATGATGTGGTGCTCGTGAGGCCGACCGCCTCAGCCAATGTCCACCGACGCGATCTGACCCGAAACAAGTCGGAGTGGGAGTGCAGTGCCTGTACTTTCCTGAACCCTATCGCCCGATACAGCTGTGAGATCTGCCAACAGTCGCGAAGTGTGCTGACTCTGAGGCCGGACTCGGCTCATCTCAACACCAGAACTCCTTCCGCGAGATGTGATTCAAATACGAGTACTTTATGTCACGGAGAGAGCGAACTCATGGAAACTCTGAGGCGTATAGAGGAGGACGAGGCGCGCAATCGATGGGAACATATCGTCCACTTTTGCGGCAAAATTAAAAGCAATTTCGTCGACGACTCGTTCCCTCCGCTCCAGAAATCTCTGTATTATAACATCGAAGACATCGCTAACAACCATAACGTCACTCAATGGTTGAGACCAAACGATATTAGGAGCGACGCCAACTCCAGTGTCCGGTGGGCTGTCTTTCGGACGCCGATGCCGTCGGACATATCGCAGGGAATTCTCGGCAACTGTTGGTTTCTGAGCGCTTTGGCCGTATTGGCTGAGCGCCCGGAGTTAGTCAAGCGAGTGATGGTTACCCGCGAGATCTGTCCGGAGGGCGCATATCAGGTGCGACTCTGCAAAGATGGCAAATGGACGACAGTTCTGGTGGACGACCTCTTGCCGTGCGATTCCAGGGGACATCTGGTCTACTCTCAGGCCAAACGCAAACAACTATGGGTTCCGCTCATAGAGAAGGCGTTGGCTAAACTGCACGGCTGTTACGAGGCTCTCGTGTCCGGCAGAGCCATTGAAGGCCTGTCCACACTTACGGGCGCTCCGTGTGAGTCGATTCCACTGCAATCGTCGACTCCGTCGTCAAACGAAGAGGGAATCGATGAGCACTTGATTTGGGCCCAACTCTTAAGCTCCAGAACCGCTGGCTTTTTGATGGGTGCCTCCTGTGGGGGCGGGAATATGCAGGTCAACGACAGCGAGTACCACGCCGTAGGCCTCCGGCCCCGACACGCCTACTCTGTGCTGGACGTCCAGGACATAGACGGCATCCGATTGGTGCGATTGCGGAACCCGTGGGGGCACTACTCATGGAAGGGCGACTGGTCTGACTCGTCGCCCCTCTGGACACCAGTACTTCGCGAGAAACTCATCCCTCACGGGGCGAGCGAAGGTGTCTTCTGGATGTCGTTCAACGATGTCCTCAAATATTTCGATTGCATCGACATCTGTAAAGTGAGATCCGATTGGAATGAGATTAGACTTCAGGGAGTGTTGCCGTCAAACGCGTTGGACGTGGAGAACCTGGCGATCGTCGAGTTCACTGTCGTGGAGGCCACGGAACTGGAGTTCAGTCTCTTTCAAGAGGGACAGCGAAGTGCTGAGCGCTCGCAGAGGAGTCAACTGGACTTATGTGTAGTCATCTTCAGGAATGGCAACCCGTCTAATGGAGGGGTCGGCAAACTCGTCAAACACAGCAAACGCCAAGTGAGGGGTTTTGTGGGCTGTCACGTGATGTTCGAACCGGGGGTTTATGTAATCATCTGTTTGGCGTTCAATCACTGGCAGACCAGTAAGTCTTGTGTCTAGTGATAGCATACGGTGTCTGACCATTCATTACCGAACAGGTATCGAGAGTGTGGAACAGTACCCGAAGTTCTTGCTGGCGATGCACAGCTCAAAGCGCCTGTTGGTCGAGACGGTGTCCCCTCAGAGCTTCATATTGGCCGACGCTATCATCAATTTGACACTTTCTAAGGGCCAGAGACACGAGGTTTGCATTCATGGCACGAAATTAACAGTTTGTTTATTACTTATTCATTGTTCTTGTTGGAATTTCAGGGTCGAGAGGGTATGACTGCCTATTACTTAACCAAAGGCTGGGCGGGTCTGGTAGTGGTGATCGAGAATCGATTCCCCGATCGCTGTATTCAAGTGATCTGTGATTGTTCGGAGAGCGTCAATGTTGTGTCCACCAGAGCTACGCTAAGAACTGTGGACAGTATACCCCCACTGCACAGGTATGTGTGAAAAGGGTATGGCTTTGAAATGTTAGACTAAATCATTGCTGTATTCACAGGGAAGTCATAATAGTGTTGACGCAATTGGAGGGAAGCGGAGGGTTCTCTATATCTCACAGACTCACACATCGGGTCTCTTACACGAGTGGACTCCACGACTGGGGACCCGTCGGTACAAACCACGTGCCAACCATTGATCGTAAGGTGTTTGGTCTGCACTCTCCCCGACCCCTATAGCTATAGATTCTCACGAACTCTACTTAACTCATGTGTAAATGTATTGACATTTATGTTTAAATCGTTTTTTGCATTTTCAATCTATTTGTACNTTTAAATCGTTTTTTGCATTTTCAATCTATTTGTACTGTACATGAATGTAATGCATACATATTTTAGCCTTATATTACTTCAAAATCATTGCCGCATAAAAAATATAATTACAAAACTTGTAAATTTTCAAAGATATTATATTTATTTCTCAATTAAAAACAATAAAAATAATGTTTTAGTTGATAAACAAAATATTTATTTAGTTTTGCATTTCTTGAGCAAACGGTTCTTCAAATCTCTTTGCTTTTCTTGAAACGATCGCTTTTTTTGCTTTTTAATCTTATGCCTTACCATCGAAAACGCTTTATTTCTCAGGTTTTCCTTTTTATTTTTGCTCGAAAACGGATTAGACTTGCCTTTCTTGGCGCCAAACTTCTCTCTCCCCTCCCGGCCCGATTGGACGGTCTCTAAACGCGACTCCTTATCGGCTCTCCTATTCTTATAGAGCCTTTCGATGGCATTCAACGGAACGATCTCTTTCTGGTCCAACACTTGACTAATAGTTTCCGTTTCATTAGTTTTGGACTTTTTGTTGAATTTTCGCGGTTTGGCGGCAGAGATCTGTTTCGACAGTTGAATGGCTTTCACTTTACGGAACTCTTCTTGAGTCAGAATACGCGACGACGAGATGAGAGTCGCCTTCTCTTTGGGATCAGTTGTCGTCGTCGAAGAACTGTTGCCAACACTTCGCGTCTCATCCGCCTCTCCATCGTCCGAGTGGTTCACATCAACCCATCCGTCGCTGTCGTTGTCTTCGTCTTCAGAATGGCTGACATCAACCCAACCCTCGCCGTCCTCTTCGTCCATCTCTTCGTTATCACTTCCATCGACATCGCTGTCCACCGACTCATTGAGCGCTTCGGCGCCGTCCACAAAGCCAGTGGACACCAGTTCTCCATATTCTTTGGCTCTGAGTTGAGTGTTAGCTTCGGTTGGTTTGGATCGGTCCCTCTTCTTAAGCAAATGCGGAT